TTCATTTATGCTTTCCTGTGATCTATAAGAGCTGTGTGCTCCTGGACTCATGATGCTTACACGATGTCAGGCATGATGTCTACCAACTGGTGTAATGAGCATGGCCCAATCAGAAGAGCTGTCCATAAATAAGGGGGATGTCTGTTTCCACCCATACAGGCTGTATAGCTGTGCTCATGAGACTCCAAAGTCCTCCAAGAGATCTAATGAGGGCCTCCTGGTTCTTCCGTAGAGCTGGTGCCCCAATTTTGCTTCTTTCTCTTCATGTCCAGGTTTGGTGAAGCAGGTCTAACCATGTTTTAGGAGCTCCTGTTACTTACTGTCCTGGAACCAATCTTCTTCCCAACCTGGCTGTCACTAAGGAAATCCAGGAAGACTGGTAACATACACAAAAGAGATAATTAACAGGGAAGTCTTTCTTCTACTGGTAGTGGGGATGTGTGGATGTGTGAAACAGAGTGTCACTACACAGAGGCTAGCCTGGAACTTGCTATGCAACCCAGGCAGGCCTTGAACTCAGAAACCTCCTGAACTTCCTGAATGATAAAATTAAAAGCATGTACCACTGTGCCCAGATGATAGGGTAGTTTGGATGCTCAATCAAGAAGGCAAAAACATAAAAGCAAAAATAACAACAAATCACAGCTCTGGGGAAAGTGGTGCTGAAATGCAAGACCTATTCAAGGAATTCAAACTGGCTTTGGGAGAAGAGGTAGTGATCTTTATTTTATAGCTGTGCGTGGTGGCATATGCCTTTAATCCCAGTACATGGGAGGCAGAGGCCAGCCTGGTTTAGTGAGTTCCAGGCCAGCTGGGGCTATAGGGAGACCCTAGCTCAAAAAAATTTTTTTTATTTACTTATTTTTTATGTTACCTGTGTGTCTGTATATGTGTATGCCACATGTGTGCAGGTCCTCATGAAGGCCAGAGGAGGGCTTCGAATCCCCTGGAGCTGTAACTACAAGGGGCTGTGAGTCACCTGACATGGTGACTGGGAACTGAATCTGGGTCTTTTGCAAGAGCAACAAGGGCTCTTAACTGCTGCCATCTCTCTAGCCCCGAGGCCGTATGACCTTTTACACAAGGTTTCATGATTTACACACAAAGGGAGTAACAGGGTACTCCACAACTTCTGTCAGAATCTAGACCAATCATTTCTCCAACGTTTTCTTAACCCAAAGTAAAAATGGACTACCACCTATGTTCTCAAACTTCCTTACATACTGACACAGATCTTGGGTGTGGAAAGGAAAAGGACAGCTGAACCTGGTAGCACAGGCTAGTAACCCAGGTACTCAGGAGGCTGAAGCAGGAGGATCACAGATGCAAGGCTAATCTGAGCAACTTGGTGAGACCCTGTCTCAAAATAAAAGGCAAAAAGAAGGCTGGGGATACAGCTCAGTGGTAGAGTGCTTGCCTGGCATGTGCGGGCCATATCTTCAATTCATAATATGATAGAGGTGAAAAGGGAGGGAGAGTTAATTCAGGGTAGTTCTTGGCTGGGGCTAGAACTGCTAAAGTTTGGGGAATTACTAATATAGTTAGCTCCACTAATATCCATGAGTTCCATATCTTCTGATTTAATAAACTGCAGGTCAAAATATTATTTTTTAAAAATATGAGGTTGCTTTTTTTTGAGGAAAACTGGGTTTGATTCCTAGCACTGAAACAAAACAAAACTGAACAGAACATCTCTACTATGCTGACTTTTTTCCCCCTTGTCATAGTGTTGGGCGTGGTGGCATACACCTTTAATTCTAGCACTCAGGAGGCAGAGGCATATCTCTGTGAGTTCAAGGCCAGTCTGGTCTAAATAGTGAGTTCCCAACTGGGGCTACAGGAAAAAAAAAAAAAAAAAAAAAAAAAAAAAAAAAAAAGAAAAACCATAGAAACTAGTAATGTATTACACTGTACTAAGTATAAATAATTTAGAGATGATTTAAGAGAATATATGTATGTTCATAAATGGACTTGAGATCTGCAGATGGAGGTGTGTTCCTATGACCAATTTCCCATAGGTATTAAGGATATAACTATATTTTGAAGTTGGAGCTAGAGGATGGGTCTCAAGCATAAATGATCAATAGTAATCAAGAAGAACCAAAAAAAAAAAAAAAAAAAAAGGCAAAAAAAGAAAATTTTTCCAGGATGCCATTTACATTTTGGGAAGTTTAGGAGTTTCCCTCAGACTCTACCACAATGGTCTGGCCCTAATCATCCAATCGTCTACAGCACTTTCCCTTCATTTAATTATTTTATTCATCTCCAATTTATTTAAAAAGTTTGAATCTACAAAAAAGCTAAAAGAATAGTATAACAAATGGCTGCATCCTGTTCTTGACTTACTGGCTGCATCATTCTGCCTTCTTGCTCTTGAATGTTGCTCTACCATCATAGACTTTTTTTAAACCTGCTGAATGCTGAAGATGTCAATGTGCTTCACCTCTAAAATCTAAACCTTTCACAGTGCCAGAAGATGCTACGCAGGCTGCTGGGGGAGAAAAGTAATCAATGGTATTACCTAGTGGTGAACCCTGAATGTTTCAGTACTGACCTGCCAGGCAACATGTGCCCAGTAGTGCAGTAGTGGCATGAAGGTTATAGGGGTAACCAACCACTTTCTACTTGGGTTTGAGGCCTGCTCCATAAGAAAAAAATTCATGCCTGGTACTGTAAACCTGGTCAAAAGTCCATGGCTTGGGAGGTCCATAGACCCTAGGGAGGAACTTACTACTGTTGTTCTGTTAAATGACCATGTCAAACTGTCTTCTAAATATTTATGCTTATTCCCATAGATCAGTGCTGTTCTCAACCTTGGCCAGAGAAGCTTCTTCTGTAATGCAAGACTCAAAGCTGGTTAAAGTGCTGAGGATGAGTGACTGTTGAGTGCTTTACCCTAAAGGGGACATCTCTATGATTCTAAGACTCAGAGAGCATCATGGAAGAGGGGACAGAAAGAATGTAACACCCAGAGGATGGGGAGGAGCACTGTGAAATACTGTCTTTTGGATATAACGTAGCTGCTATAAACTCATAGCAGCTATGGTTACCAGCACAAGGCCTGCACAAGGTAAGTCAACACTGGACTCAGTGGGTTCCCCCACCTCCAAAAGAAAAGAAAGGAAAAAAAAGGAGAGGGCATGGAGGTGGGAAGGGAACGTGTTGGGGGCGGGTTGAAAGGCTCATGATACACTGCATACACGTACGAAACTGTCAAAGAATAGAAGATCCAAAGAGTAAGAACAATCTCCTACATAACCACAATATCATGACTGCATCTAAGAAAATAAACAGTAATTCCTTACTGTATAATAGAGGGTCCATATTCAGATTTCCCCAATTATCTCCAAATTATCTTTTTTAACTATTTTTCTTCATACAGGATTCAAAGTCTACATACACTAATCCATTGTTACAAGTATTTTAATCTATAATAGTTGTTCCCCTTACCCTGCATCTTCTCAGCAGGAATACCACATAGGTGAAATTAACAGGAGCCTCACAAGAAGTTCCACTAACCTTGATCTTTTGGTGATGGTAACTTTGCAATCTCTCTATTGTAAGAGCACACTCCTTGAGTATCTGTGATGAGACACTCTGAAATAATATGAAAATCCTGCTCCTAACATTTCACTGAGGTGTCTACCATTGACAAATGAGGTTAGTGTTTCTATAGCACAGAGGCACAGAGTGTGTCTCTCCTTCCTTCCATTGTGTATTCATTTTTCACACAATAACTCTTCAATGCCATCCTCTCTTTCCCACTGTGTATTCTCTTAGTTAATTCTTGCTGGAGCTTACTCCCCCACCTCTTGCTGAGCACATCTGACAGCTCAGGCCCAGCCCTAGGGAGCCACTAACCTTTTCCAGCTGATCACATGGCCTTCAGCAAACACACTGAATAAAACCAGCACACTGTGGCCTACCAATTCATGGGAACATAAAAATCAAAAACAGGTGTAATATTCATTGGGTTAGACTGAAGAGAATGGAGGAAATCATGAATTTTTTTGAAACTGGATTGTGTAAATCCTGAAAGCTCTTTCCTCCTCCCTAGGGCTGCTTGCTTTGTCCTTGTCAGGTTTTATAAAGGTGGTAAACAGAAACACCCTTGCCACATCAGTTCTCTGATATAAGAATCCACTGAGAAATGAGGTTCAGAAACCATTTCACCAAATAATCCATTTTACATGGAGAACCAGGCTGGGAGAGGCATAGGGTCTGGTCCAGGAGTCCTCAGCCTTTAATGGAGGTACAACAGAAACCCCACTTTGATAATGCCTCCTCTCACGCTCTTTTCTCTCCTTTCGCAAGCGCCTCGTGATTCGGATACTTAACCTGCGCCAGAGAAGCGGTAGTGTTCTCGTCCTCTTCACTGTAATTTGCATTTTTGCCGCATCACCTTCCCATCTTTGGACACTTAAATTCCCCAAGGCTTTTATAATTTTTTTTTAAATCGACCTTCAATTCTGCAGGTCAACAGGAAAACTAAAGAAGTCCCGGGATGGCACAGACTAGCATTATTTTAGCCAGAAAAGAAAAAAAAAGATTTTCCGGGACCTGCATCAGGCGGCTCTCTAGAGGCTGAAGCACCCTGTGACAGCTCCGGGGACCTCAGGAAAGACGCCGACCCGGGTCCTCCCTTCATCCGTCTCTTGCTCAAGAGAGGCCGCGAGATGCTCGAGACTCCAGGAGCTTATCACACGTTCACCAGAGAGGAGAAAGTAGGGAACAAAGCCCAGCGTGGAGAGCCCCAGCTACGCGGCCCGGGGCGACCGGAGACCGCGCCTTCTTTGCAGCGGTGCGCGGGCCGCGGGCTGCGGGGCTGCAAGGCGCAGTGCAGCGGGGACCCACACGCTTCCCCGGCCGCCCGCTGCACCCGCCCGGACATAAGCGGCTGCGGGCTCCGACTGGCCGCGCGCCCCGCCGCGGAGCATCCTCGCGCAGACACGCAGGGCGCTGGGCTGCCCGGACAGTCCCCTCCCGACCTCGGAGCTCACCAGTGCGTGCGCCCATCCCGCTGCGGGCGGTGCGGGCAGGCAGGCTCGGCCCCAGGCGCAGTTCCAACCAGCAGGGGCGGCGCCGCGGCCCGGGCGAGGACAGAGATCAACAGGCGGCTCGGGCAGGGTGCGGCGCGGGGCGCGCGGCTGTAGCGGGGCAGCCTGGGAAGCGTAGTTCCGGCGGCGCGCAGCGGCCACGCGGAGGAGGGACCCCCCCCCCCCCCCCCCCCCCGACCTGGCCCGGGCTGCTGCAGGGAGGTGGGGGCTGCACCTGAGAGCGCGCTGCCTGGCAGGTGGAGCCTTGGCTTGGGGAAAATTGGTAGGCTCTTTGAGATGCTCTGGGCTCCCGACGCGGTGGGTTGGCAGAAGCTTGGCGAACTGTGGGCCAGTGAGCATCCTTCGGTGCAGCCTTGTCAAGGCAGAGCTCAGGAACAGAACAGGCCTGCCCCTAGGATTTATGGGCTGGACCCGGGCGTGGGAAGGAGAAAATAGGTTAATTGCCTAGGGATGAGAGGTAAGCTAACAGTGGGTTAGCGAGCTTGATCTGAAATCTTGGAGAGCTGACGTTGTTACATGCAGGCTTTCCTAGGTACGACACAGGAGTTTTCTTCTGAGACTCGGTGTCTTCACTTGTAAAATGTTCACAGCTTAAAGGCACCACATGGGATTCAACGACCTATAACAGGCCTACCTCTGGTACTCAGTGCATACTCAGTAAGAGCTCCTTCATCATGGTTACAAAGGGTCTTTTTTTGGATGCAACCCTTGCTGAGAAAGCCCTACATAAAGTGTTAAGCAAAAAATAGCTGAGGTCTCCTTGGCCTGGACAAACGTTAAAACTTGCAGCTGGCCTGGAACTTGCTGTGTAGACCAGGCTGGCCTTGAACTCAGAGATCCGCCTGCCTCTGCCTCCCGAGTGCTGGGATTAAAGGCGTTTGCCACCTCACCCCACCCAGAAACTTTTTAAAAATAGGAACTTTTATAGCCTAGGCTGGTCTTGAATTTATAATCGTCCTGCTTCTGCTTCCCCTAGTCCTGGGGTTACAAATATATATCACACCCACTCTAGAAGTATTTTCTATTTAGATATAGTTTCTCTCCTTTTTGACACCTCCATGTGGACTTTGAGCATAACCTTGGTAGGGCACTGGACAGTTTCAGCTATGTTGAACTTTAAGTTGCTCATATGCAACATTTCACCTTGTGGTGGGGTCTGTGCCTAGAAATGTGAAGGAACATGAACCAAAGGGATAGATGCAGCACAACTTGGGGATCTCCCAAATGGACAACAGGCGAATAAATAAACGTTGTGTGGAGTAAGATGTGCAATGGTTGTGTCAGAAAAAGTGCTGCCAAAGAAATTCCATAGTTAAAAATAATAGCAGCAGAGCTGGAGAGATGGCTCAGTGGTTAAGGTCACTGTTCTTGCAGAAGACCCGGGTTCGAATCCCAGCACCCACATGGCAGCTAACAGCTGTCCATAACTCCAGTTCCAGGGAATCTGACAGCCTCTTCTGTCCTCCTCGATCATTTCACAACACAGGTGCACTTACCTACATGCAGGCATAATACTCATACACATAAAATTAAAAAAATAATAAAAAATATTAAAAAATAGCAACTGTGCACTTGTGTTAAAATATAATGCTTTCCTCTTTTTCTTTTATCTTTGCAACAACCCTGTGAGACAGGTTGGGTTTTTCCCTCCATTCAGAGACATTTGAGGCCAAGAAGTGATATAGTTTACTTGGGCTTGTCCAGCTGGTCATTAAGGGCATCTTCTCACCTTCCACTCTAGTCATCACAGCACCTCCCTTTGTGCATTTCAAAACACTGGAGAAACGGATCAGCAGTTAAAAGCACATACTATTTTTCCAGAGGACTCAAGTTCAGTTCCCAGCACCCAAGTGGGGTAGGTCACAACCGCCTGTAACTCCAGCTCCAGAGGATCCAACCCCCTCTTCTGGCCTCCAAAAGTACCTGCACACATGTGGCACACACTCACACAGACATGCACACATACATACATTAAAAAACAAAACAGGACCCTATCTTCCCAGCAGATTGCTGAATCAGAAAATAAAGCTGGTCCCCCCAGGCCCTTGGAACTAGTGTGGTGAACACAGGTGCACAGGAGCTGCCAAAAAACATCAGTGTTGTTTCTGTGCAGTTGTAACCCTGCACTTCCATGTCAGAATGAAAAGTGTGAACTGAAAAGAATGAAAGAAAATGGAGGTGTGACCAAACCAGCTTAAATAATGTCCTCAAGTTTTCCTCTGCATTTGTTTTGTCAAATGTCCAGGATACCTGACGTTTTTATGTTGTGAATTCATTAAAAGTCAAAAGTCATGCCTTTTTTTTTTTTTTTTTTTTTGAGACAGGGTCTCCCCGTAGCCCCAGCTGGTCTGGAACTCACTATGTAGACCAGGTGGGCCTCAATCTCACAAAGATCCACTGCCTCTGTTGCTCGAGTGCTGGGATTAAAGGTATGCGCCACCACACATGGCTACAAATCATAGCCTTTTGTCATAGCTGTTTACAGATTAAATTATCAATTTTACCAGAGAATGGTGGTGACAGGCATAAGGTAAAGCTAATAAAGCAATTTCATTCATGTTGGAGGAAAGAGTAGCAAAGATGCCTGGCAGTAGACTTTCTGTGGGTGTCTTGTGGTCCAAAATGTCTGCATGTGGTAAATGAATGGAGCATTACTTCAGAAGCGGTCTGTAAAATGGAGCAGATATAGAAATAATTTCTTACGTTATAGTCATATCTGGCAGCACATAGAGAGCCATGTGTAGGCTCTGGGAGGATATTTATGCTAAATAGAGCCTAGAAAAAGAAACAGTCAACCTCTCTGTTCCACAAGGGCTAGAAGGAAGTATTATTGGATTCAATAAATGAGGAAGGTAGGGTACTTACTTAACCCATCTAGTTTTAGTATTAACATTAAGCTAGGCATTTTGATGCACACCCGCAACCCCAAGATGTGGGAGATGGAGGCAAGAGGATCACAAGTTCAAAGTCATTCTCAGCAATGTAGTGAGTTTGAGGCCAACCTGAGCTATATGAGATCCTGTCTCAAAACAAAGAAACGAGCAAACAAAAATTAAGGGGAAGCTGAACCTGGTGGTGCGTTCCTGCAATTCCAGCACTTGGCAGCTAAGGTAGGAGGACTGATGAGAGTTCAAAGCTGGCCTAAGCTACACAGTGAGTTCCAGGACAGCCCGAGCTACAGTGTGAGATGCTGTTTCAAAAACCAAAACACCAGTGGGGAATGGTGGTGCATACCTTTAATCCCAGCATTCAGGAGGCAGAGGCAGGAGAATCTTTGTGAGTTCCAGGCCAATCTGGCCTACATAGTAAGTTCCAGGTCAGCATAGTGAGACCCTGTTTCAAAAAGAAAGAGAAAAAAAAAAAAAAGGAAGGAAAAGAAAGAAAAAATTGGGGGGGGGGGGAAGACAGGGCCTCACGTAACACAGGCTAGCTTCTAACTTGATATGTAGGTGAGGACAACCTTGAAATCTTTGGTTCTCTAGCTTCCACTTCCCAAGTACTAGGATTACAGGACTGCACCACCATGACCAGTTTAGTTTTAATTTTTTCACTT